AAATGCTCAGTTTCAATATTTTTTGCATGGTGTTCCAAGCCAGAGGAGCAGCGCACATAAAAGCTTTAGTACCTAAAACAGTCCTAGCACTTGGCACATGTAATAAAAACACATCCTGGGATCTCAGGCAATAGCTACTTGCCACTCTCCGTGAGATCAAAGAGCATATATAAGTCGGTAGTTTACCCAGCATGGCTTTATATATGAATATGTACCAATGACTGAGCCTCCGACCAGTAAGTGACCTGCCTGAAGATTTTATGTGCCTTAAAAACGTAAATTGCTAACAAGCGACTAAATAATACTACATAACGTCATCACCCCAAACATAGAATAGAATTGGGAGGGATGAAACCCTCTTTTAATGGTCACACATGCAGAGCACACAGCACACACAGTGAAATGTGGCCTCTGCATTTAACCCATCCTAGAACCAGGAGTCTAGTACTAGGAGCAGTGGGAAGCTATTGTACAGCGCCCGGGGAGCAATGGGGGTGTCCGGTGCCTTGCTCAAGGGCACCACGGCAGGGCAGGAGGTGAACTGGGACCTCTCCAAGAAGCAGTCCACACTCCACATTTGTTTAGGCCTGGTCAGGGACTTGAACCGGCGACCCTACAGCTCCCAGTCCAAGCCCCTACTGACTGAGCCACTGCCGGACATTAGCCACCTTTAGCTTAGCGGTGGGGACATGCAGAATTGCAACCGTAATGTAGTGTGGTTATAGCCTAGCGTTGGCTTTTTACTTCTGTTGATTGCATTTATGCTTTAAAAATGAAAAGAGTGGTTTTCAATGTGGAGATTATCCTGCTGAACAAAACACGAGAGTATCATTAATGTGTGTTTTTGTTGAGGGAGCTACTGATTTTTGTTGAGGGAGCTCTTGCAATGCTAACTTGCGGGTTCAGCCTACACAAATAACCTCATGACTGCACCAATCTATAGTCACTGATAGAGTATCTTAATGAGCAGGAAATCAAACCACTTTACCCTCATACGCTATCTGAGTGTAACACTTTGCAAGGTCGCTGCAATCTGATTGGTTTAAAGCAGGGGTGGGGAACCTTTTTCCTCTCAAGGGCCATTTCAATTTTTCAACATCCTCAGAGGGCCGTACAAATTATTGACCTCTGCTTAAAAATACTAAAATCACAGCATTTGGCCTTTCTTTCATGCTGTGCAAAGAAAAAGCAACCTCTTAATCCAGATATCTTGACATGACTCACGTATGCATGCGGTTGTGGCATGACCACCACAACAGAAAGATATGGACACAAGATGTGTGCAAATGTATTTAGTTTCCTATCCATGTGAACATGATTTAAGTGGGGGGGACCTAACCTCCTCTAGGGGGGTCCAGGGGCATGCTCCCCGGGAAGATTTGTTTTTAAATGTTGAAGTTAAAAGCATCAATCTGGTGCACTTTGAGAGCAACATTAGGAGATCTATGGATACATCTCTCAACACCCATATGAAACAGAACTGTAAACAGATTTTCATTTTCTTTATGGATATTTTACAAATCACTCCCCTTTCAAACTGTATTCTTGTTTATTAATAACAACTTTTTTTTACTGTCATATAGTATTTTATACCTGTTTACTTTATTCTCTTATTTGTTTATAACTATAATGATCATATAAAGATGTGCCTTTACCTCACTGGTTGGAGAAAAAGCGTCTTATATTCGTTAGCATAGCTAGCTAACCAGATGCTAATAACAACAAAGGTATTGACTGTATGATCAGCAGTGGCGTCGCCTGGCCTGGGCATCCGGGGCTTTAGCCCCGAATGTTTTTTCTGTAGCCCCGGACAATTCTCCCTCAATAATATAATACATTAACCGTGCTTTACGTGAACCTCATCATGACACAAGAGAGGACGGCAGCACTGTAATTTCCCGTGTTCAGTGAATGCAACAGAGGCATGACACCAGACCAATCAGAGAGTTGCATGGAAATAAACGTGTGCTTGTGTCATTCAAGCTCGGCTCTGTTACTCCATTCACACCAACGGTGTTTCAGGGCCGGTTCGGAGCTGGAGCTTGAAAAGCACCGGGTTTTCCTGTTCACACCGCAGCGGAGCAGCCTCTAAGCTCCGGAATCCGGTTCGTTTCGAGCACCAAAAAGTTGTCCGTCTAGAAGCAAGAACCGCATACGTCACGCTTACGTCGGAGGGGGGCGAGATTAACCTGAGCTAACAGTTAAGGCGAGTACGGCAAATACAAGTTGTAACAAGCAGTAGTGCTGAGCAAAGTGACTAGAACGCAACCACACACTTGTAAAAAAAAAACACGCTTTATAAAGTCAGGCAACACTAACCAGGCTTCGTGTGATTCTGTTTATTTGTACCTTACTTTGACCATCCGTTCGCTGTTATTGATCATTGTGGAGAGCAGGCAGACGTTTTGTTTTGTATTATAGCAGCTATCGGATGGAATCAATACATGGGCTGCACAGGTTGTCATGTCCGACTATCACAAGTAGAATCATAATGAAAAACACGCTGGTAAAAAGTGCCTGTAGAAAACGGCTTAGCAAATAGTCAGTTTAGCTTCGGTTGCTATGCTAACATCACCCATGTTATACCAGAGAAACTTTCATAACAGCGTTGTGATGCCAAACAGCGTCAATTCAGACTGACACCAAACAGCGTCAATTCAGACTGACACACATTCACTTAAGGGGAACTGGGGATATGTATCAGCTGCTTGTGTGACAGTCAGACAGTGAATACTTTAGAGCCGTGTGAGCTAACGGGAGAATACACTCCCGTGGAAGAGCAGCCAGCACTGCAGCGGTCGGTAAATGCCGCTGAAACACATTAATAAACAATGAACCACGGCACTCTGGAGAAAAGTATAAGGTTGGAGAAGTCGTTATTTAATTTAATCTGGCTTCGTATGATTAAAAGCAACACGATCATCGACCCGACGCAGTCCCCGGCCCGTTGTTGTTGTGAGGTGAGCTCCGTTGGGGAGAAAATCAGCGACGTAAACTGTGACGTCATGACGCAGCAGCGGTAGCACCAGTCGGGCTCTGAGCGGTGTGAAAAGAGCCGGAGCTAAACCGAAGTACCGGTTCTGAACCTGAAAAGCTCTAGCACGGAGCTTGAACCGGAGTTGCGTTGGTGTGAAAGGGGTATGTGTGTGTGTGTGGCAATAGCGCATTTAGTGTGAGAGAGAGAGAGAGAGGGAGAGAGGGGGAGGGAGGGACCGGTGTCAGCATGGACCGTGTTGTTAGCATCTGGTTAGCTAGCTGCACTAACGGACATAAGGAGCTGTTTGTTCCACAAGAAGCTGGAGGAGAGTCCTCTCCTCTCAGACTGAGAGACTCAGGTGAGCTAAAGGACTCTCTGAGTGTTTAGATAGTTAACTTTAGTCTAAGTTATCTCAGTGGGTCTCAAACGGTTTGGTCACAAATTATTCAAAAGATTATTTCCGCGGCACACCTTCATATGATCATTATAGTTATTAAAAAAAAGAGAATAAAGGAAAAACAGTTATGAAATACTATATGGCAGTAAAACAAGAATAGAGTTTAAAAGGGGAGTGATTAGTAAAATATCCATAAAGAAAAAGTACATCTGTTTACAGTTCTGCTTGGTGTTGAGAGAGGTATCCATAGATCTCTTCATTTTGCTCTCAAAGTGCACCAGATTGATGCATTTAACTTCAATATTTAAAAAAAAATCTTCCTGGGGGAGCATCCCCCCGGACCCCCTAGAGGAGGTGAGCCCCCCACTCATAAAAAATACCACTTTACCCCTGCCTATATGCCGTGAGCTGATTATCGAGCCTTCATTGTAACAGTCGCGGGTGTACTGTGTGGGGAGTGTTGCAGTGAAAAATGCCACTAGTGCCGCCGCCACTGTGGGCTAAGCCCCGAATGTTTTCAGGTCCAGGCGACGCCCCTGATGATCAGTATGACAGATGAACAGATCTCCACTGGGCTTTCAACTAAAGACACAGCCACGCAAAAACTGCGGCATGTGTACGGCTCCTTATGGGTACTGACATTTGTGAAGTGCCGGAGCGGCGTTCTGGTGCTCTCCGTCAGAACTACACCCCTGTCAGACGGGACATATACCACTGATGACACGTTAGGCTCGTGTTGTGTTCAAGGACCCTGACCTAACCCAGGAAAAACAGGCACTCGCTTGTTTAATTTTTTTGCGGTCTAGATTTCTTTTTTGCGTATGTTTATGAATTACCTCGAGGGCCGTACCAAATGGTCTCGCGGGCCGTATACGGCCCGGGGGCCGGAGGTTCCCCACCCCTGGTTTAAAGAAATACAAAAAACCCAGAATATTTTTCCTGAATGACACAGCACTCTGCAGAAATGTCTGGCAATGAGAAACTAGTCTGGACTAATTAACCTGTTGGCTTAGACAGATGTCTGGATATTTAGTATAATATGCCATCCACATGAGTATCTGTCTGTGTGAAACTGGCTTTACAACAGACCAGCCATAAGTGACGTCAGGCTTGAACACCTGGGAACACAGATAAATTGTTGAGTCAGCTACCAGAACAGATACTTCCTGTTTCCCTTAAAAGGGTCCTCAAAGGGCTGTGATGTAATTTAGTGGTGTGATCCGTCACATACAGTAACTCAGTTCCAGCATGCCTTTAATGTTTTGTGTCTTTTTCAGCTGTTAAAGTATGTGGCAATTGGGGCTTGTTAACACATGAATGGAGTTCAGAATACGTGTAGAAAGTTGTCTCTTTGTCACAGCGCCTGAAGGTGGGAGAGGAGCCCGCAGCAGGAGAGACAGGGTAGGGTTAAACACTCCTTAGCAGTTTGAAGACGCAGCAAGATTGACATTTATTGAATCAAAGTAAGGCTCAGGGGAATGGAATGAGAGCCAGCGGGCTGATAGCACGGCCTGCTCCTATGAATCATTCTTGTATTTTAGGTTGTGCTACAAGTGCTGAATGGGAATAAATCTTAAGAGATTATGAAAACATTGTCAGTTAAAAGGTGGTGTTTTCTTTCGACAGGAGCCAGGCGCTGCTACCTCACAGCCATGAGTTCTCAGACCAGCTTTGGCAGCAGCATGCTGTGTGAGTTTCCACTAACCCTACATTTATCTAGCCTGGTGTATATTATTGCTCTTGGGGGGAATACCCTATGCTAATTGTCTGCGGTGATAATGTGTTTTGATTTCAGTCCAGAATATAAACGATGACCTGAACGCATCGCTGGCTACAGCAGATGAGTTATCCAGAGAGTTCAACTCCCTGCTGAAGGAGGCCTCCTCCAACAACAACACTCAGGTACTCACACTCACACACAGCTCACTACTAGCTCTCCTTCCTCATAGCAAGCCTCTAGCATGTCGCTAACACCCGGGATTTCCATTAGCCTTCCTACGTCATACTTTCCTCAAAGCTAAAATGTGTTTCTGGGGTTGATCTGTCTATATTCTAGAAAAAATGGAATGCACAACTGTACTGGTCAGTCAAAGCTAAAGCCCTTGACAAACACAAGTCGTACCCATTGGCAGCATGTCAAAGACTTGATGATGCAGCAGTTGTTGAATTCTAACAAATTAAGTATTTGTTAAAAAAAATGCTCATAACAGATCAATTTTTCCTTTAGACCAGCTCTGAAGTCTCCCCGGAGAAGCCTAAGAGGGTGTCGAGTGGCAGCAGTAATGGAAGCTCCAGCTCCAAGACTTTATCCCCGAGCTCAACAACTTCCCGTCCGTTGGACTCCGTCTTCTCCAGCAGTAAGAGCGCATCCCCTCCGGTCTTCTACACCAGTCCGGTGTCATCCCCCAAGATCCAGAGGGCGCACTCTCCACTTCCTCGGGCTGGATCCGACAGCTACTCGTACGGCCAGCAGGGCCCCAGGATGGCGCCTAACAGCCCGAGGCACAACTCCCCTTCTCAGTACGACAGGAGCCCACGAAGCTCCACCAGTTACATGGAGAGAGGCTCTTCTCCAAGTGTCATGGCTGGTCCTGCCTCGCCCTTCACCTCATCCTCCAAATTGCTGAGCCCTTACGACGGGAGCCAGATGGGCCACAGGTCGCCTCGGGGAGAAAGAAGCCGCTCCCCCGTTTCTTCGAACTATCCTATGTCCAGCACACTTCCCAGAAACGTTGGTGTCAGGCAACCTGGTAAGAAGGGTTAGATGGGGCCAACTTTACCCAATAGAAACGTTAAATGATCATGCTATCAGATCAACGTTATCCCGTTGTTGTTCATTGTATCTGTTTTTAAATTCACTACAGTGTAGTTGTGTACATGATATGAAAAACTTAGGTCACAGGCTCCTCAACAATGCAATATAAATATATACAAGACATAAAAAAAAGAGGAAAATAACTATAGAAAATGTGTGCAAGCTCAAGTGTTACATAGTCTTGTGGCTTGTGGGATGTAACTGTCCCTGAGTCTAGTGGTTTCTGTCCTGATGCTGCGGTACCGCCTGCCAGACGGCAGCAGACAGAACAGTTTGTGGCTGGGGTGATGGGGGTCTTTTGTAATCCTGAGGGCTTTCTTCCTGAGCCGCTGGGAGTAAAGATCCTCCATGGATGGCAGCTCCGTCCTGGTGATGTTCTGTGCCGTTTTCACCACCCTCTGTAAAGCCTTACGGTTGAGGGCGGTGCAGCTTCCGTACCAGGCTGTGATGGAGCCAGTCAGGATCCTCTCTATGGTGCACCTGTAGAAGGTCAGGATCCTCTCTATGGTGCACCTGTAGAAGGTCAGGATGCTCTCTATGGTGCACCTGTAGAAGGTCAGGATGCTCTCTATGGTGCACCTGTAGAAGGTCAGGATGCTCTCTATGGTGCACCTGTAGAAGGTCAGGATCCTCTCTATGGTGCACCTGTAGAAGGTCAGGATACTCTCTATGGTGCACCTGTAGAAGGTCAGGATGCTCTCTATGGTGCACCTGTAGAAGGTCAGGATCCTCTCTATGGTGCACCTGTAGAAGGTCAGGATGCTCTCTATGGTGCACCTGTAGAAGGTCAGGATCCTCTCTATGGTGCACCTGTAGAAGGTCAGGATACTCTCTATGGTGCACCTGAAGAAGGTCAGGATACTCTCTATGGTGCACGTGTAAAGGTCAGGATTCTCTCTATGATGCACCTGTAGAAGGTCAGGATGCTCTCTATGGTGCACCTGTAGAAGGTCAGGATCCTCTCTATGGTGCACCTGTAGAAGGTCAGGATACTCTCTATGGTGCACCTGTAGAAGGTCAGGATACTCTCTATGGTGCACCTGTAGAAGGTCAGGATCCTCTCTATGGTGCACCTGAAGAAGGTCAGGATACTCTCTATGGTGCACGTGTAAAGGTCAGGATTCTCTCTATGATGCACCTGTAGAAGGTCAGGATCCTCTCTATGGTGCACCTGTAGAAGGTCAGGATCCTCTCTATGGTGCACCTGTAGAAGGTCAGGATCCTCTCTATGGTGCACCTGTAGAAGGTCAGGATGCTCTCTATGGTGCACCTGTAGAAGGTCAGGATGCTCTCTATGGTGCACCTGTAGAAGTTGCAGAGTAACTCCAATCTTCTCTAGTGGCCAAAACAAGAAAATGCAGTCGCTCCAGTTTGCCATGAAAAATAATTTAACTACTCTGGCTCAATGTCACGGTTCCCTTTAAGAGATTCTTTAACTCTACAAATAAAAGGTCTTGGAGAAATACTGGCCTATAAATGGATGCAATACTGAACGTTCCCTTAGTCCAGTGGTTCTCAAACTTCTTCTGTCATTCCCCACTTTGAGCAGGTGGGCCTTTTCAAGCCCCACCTGCTCCTCATCGCTCCAATAAAATGGTAGGCCAAGCTTCAAATGGTCAAATGTATCGTTCTATAACAGGGGTCTCCAACCTTTTTTAGGATGAGAGCTACTTTCAACAAATAAAACAAGTCGTGAGCTACTTTTACTCCTCTTTTTTTGTTTTTTTGCAGTGTATATATTTAGCACATTTTAACATTATGATATGCTGACCTTTAACCTTTGTGTGCTGTTTGAGTCTGTGATTATTTTAACCTGCTTTATTTGGGGGTGGACCTCACCTCCTCTAGGGGGGTCCAGGGGCATGCACCCCCGGGAAGATGTTTTTTTAAATGTTGAAGTGAAATGCATCAATCTGGAGCACTTTGAGCACAACATGAATTTATGGATACAGCTCTCAACACTCAGATGAAAGGGAGCTGTATACTTTTCAATAATCCAAACATCTTTAGAATATGATCACAACCAATAACAAATCATTTAAACTGGTTTATTCTTATCTTATGTTACCTAGTTAGCATTCTTTCTTTCTATTTATGCTTATTTTACTAATCACTCCCCTTTTAAACTGTTTTACTGTCCTATAGTACACATTGGAATGATTTCTTACATTATTTTGTACAACTAGGCTATATTAAATAGATAAAGGTGTGCTCTCTCTAGCTCTCTCTCTCTCTCTCTCTCTCTCTCTCTCTCTCTGTCTCTGTCTCTGTCTCGCTCGCTCACAGAGGCTGTGTGCTCCTCCGTGGCGATGACGGCTTGCGTTAAAAAATAATAATAAACATAGGCCTATTTGTAAAGTGGGGGGACACAAACGGGATTTCGAAAAGTGTCACGGTTAAACTCCTTATGAAGTGGTGAGGTGCCGCACACTTTGAGAAACTCTGCCTTAGTAACACCACCTTTTGTCTGGCAATCATTTTGTGTTCCTTTCATTTTATTTCTCAATCTCTTGTTCCTCTCCTAGAGGAGGGTGTGCACCGGCAGAAGAACTCAGGCAAGTGGAGCGAGACAGATCTAGACGTGTCCTACGACAAGAAACCTCACCACACCTATGACAGTTGGTTTATTTTTTCTACTTTCTCAACTTCTATTTCTTAAGGGAAGTCTTGGAATTAGGCCAGGACAAAACTATTTGGATTCAAGGCCTGAGGTGCCCTGGCGCTCTGCCTGTCCCGTATGTGGTCTCTGTGTTCTAATTTCACACTTTCCTGTTACAGAGACAGAGTGGCTACAGCCGTCTGTGCCAAATAGCAGCTGGAGAGAGTCCAACCTCGATGGCCCCCTTCCGGCCCAAGGCCCAAAAAAGGTGGGTGGTGTTAACAGAGAGGCGTTCAAATAGCTACTCTGATAGATTTATTTGCCTGGCTTATGTTGTAGCCCAAACTTTTATTGCTACAGAGTTCCACAAATTGGGAGTAGCCGCAAGTCAGCTGGCACTGTTAGGCACAGATAACAAAAGGGTGAATCGAGGTGAATGTGGGGGAGGATAGGAGTTACAAAAGCCTGTTGAATGAAAAGACTCAGTTACATAATTCTTGACTCAATGGGTCAGAAAAATACAATAAGCACAATGTTACTGGCTTGCCTACTCTATCATTATTCATCTAATAAATCTTGTTTTAAAGATTATTTTCCTTTTGTTTTTTTAATTTGTATTATTATTGTACCCTTTGGTTCTGGGTAGGTAGGTTTTGTAATGATAGTTGAACCACAATATTTTGCTGTAAAATATAAAAACAACAAGCAAAGAGAGTGTTAAAAGCTCCATGTACAGTATGTGATAATTCTCCGGGACTTGGCATTACAACCCAAGAGCCTCCTCAACTCATAGCATTTAGTTCCTAAAAGATGATTTCTCCATGTTTGGCATCAATTGAAATAGCTTATAGTGGTGCGACAGAATCAGTGTTGCTTGCTTAAGTTAAGTTGACTCAGAACATATTTGCCTCCACATTGTCCCCCTGAGCTGTGAAGTGTTTATTTTTTATTTTGGTTCATCAATGACTTTTGTTCTATTTGTCCCTTTGTACTCAAACACACAATCCATATGCTGTTAAATAGAAATAAAAAGCTAAAAGAGGATAAAAAGGTGGTAAGTTGATAATTATCTGCAAAAGTGGGGATAACATAAAGGCTGAGAAGAAACACATCAATGAAATTGGGGTCAGTGTGGTGGGTTCCAAACAAAATGGCACAATAGAAGGGCAAAATCTAAAATATGTAAATACATACTAAGCATAATAATGTTATTTGGATTGCAAAAACATTTCTCAGACCGTTTTCATTTGTCAGTTAACCTATCTTGGTGCAACCTCATTTTGAAAAAAATGTTTACAAATATGATTTAAAAAAGACACACCAATGATTATCCATAATTAGATCAATTAAACTCCAAGTTATACAGTCATTTGATTCAGTGGAGTAGGATGACATGTATTCTTCTTTTTCTTTCTGTTCAAGGATCCTCGCTCTCAAAATCTCAAGTTTTCCCACGCGTCTCTCCCGCGTAACATACGTATAACAGTGCCTCCAGATGTTTCATCCCCAGTCCACTCCCCATACCAGCCTCAGCCCATCATCTCCCGTATTTCTATCCCCCCAACATCGTCTCCGTCCCGCCAGCGCAAGCCCATCCCTCTCTCTGTCATCATGCGTCTACAAAACCCCCGCTGGGGAGGAAGACCAGTCCCCAACCCCAGACTCATGGGAGGAGACGGTGATATGGCCCCTTACCCACCAACCGTACCATTTCCGAGGGAATTCTTCCACCAACTTGTTCCCCCGTCACTGCAGTACCCACCTGAGCTGAGACAGCCGGCAGTGTACAGTGACGGTAAACTAATTTATCATCTGCATACACACACATTCTGACTCTCCCATGTGTTTCCATCATGGAAACAAAGGGACTTCTTGACATGCATACGTTTAAATATAAATCTCTTTTACTTTGAATGTTTTGAAAATGCACCACTACTGCATACTGTTGGCTAGGCCTAATGAAAGATGCATCCGTATAAACATACATACACATTCTTAAACTTGCATAAAGCATAAAATGTGAAAAGTCTGCTAGCACTTAAAACACACTGACTGACAGTATTAAGCACGGGTACACAGTGCACATTATTTAGATACAAGTTGTTACCCTTCTGGTATTAGTCCTTATAAGCGTACAGGCGACACATTGTTTCACACAACACACTTGCCTTTTAACATGTAAATCTACAATATAAATATGCAATATAAATCTCATATCTGCATTACCGCTATAATGTTACACTTACACAATAATTGTACATCTGTGTCACTACTTTTCACCACTTTGGCCCACCTGAAAATACTGAAACAAAAGCACATCAATGCAATGTAGCTAAATACTTTTAGCTAGGTCTATGGAGTTACGCATCTGTATGAACATTCATGTACATTCTTATAAGTCTGCTGCAATTAACCCGCAAAACACACTGACTGAGCACAAACTTATATTTAGCTACAGGTGCTAACACTACTGGAACTAGTCCATACCATACCATACATGTGTACTACTTTTATCATTTGTATTACCTCTTTTGCTTACCTGAAAACAGAAAAACACTAGCACATCACTGCAACATAGTTGCTATCGGCTAGGTCTAATAAATGAAACGTCTTCCATTTCTGCTTCTCACATTATGATGATACCCTAAGGGCCTGTGTGAGCTTCACTCAACTTTACCATAACTTTACCTAAAATATATTACATTTGCCATGACACATGAACATATATCCGATCATTCTAGGTTACTCAAATATTACAAAATATAAAAGTGCTTATATTAACATTTTAATCCAGCATTATGGCCAAGCATTACTGTGGGTTTGACACAGTTTGTGATCTTTGTTTAACCAACATTTCAAATGTGTCCATCTTTGCAGTACTGAACTCCGGGGATATAGATGCAGAGTTAGAGCGGCTGGACTTAGTTCATCACATGCCTGTGATTCAGGAGACTCCTAGCACACCAGAGGGCAGCAGTGAGGGTATGGCCCCAGCCCCCCGGCCCCTCAGCCCCACCAGGATGCAGCCAGTGGTGGCCCAGAGCGAGCAGATCCCCAACCTGGAGGAGCTGCTCCGCATCCGGGCAGAGATCCCCCGGGCCCTGAAGCGGCGGGGCTCCCAGGATACTTCCAAGCCACTGAAGAGCGCCTCCCACTACCAGCCCAACCAGTACAAAAACCTAATTGACAAGCTTTTCCGCAAGAAGGCCCGCCGTCAGAAGGGGGAGAAGGGGAGTGAGACCAGCAGCTCAGAAGAAGAAGAGGACTTCGCTACACCTCCTGCACATCTACCTGCAGCCACGATGCAGCAAGATTTCAGAGTAAGAAAAGGGTTAGAGCGACTGAGGATGTTATAGTCTCTGGACAAGTAGAACTATGTAAATTGTCTTTAGAAATGCCTAATTAATTATGTAAGGGACAACATGCAATGGGCTTGTCATTATTATGAGCAGAACCTAGTATAGCTTCCGCGAAGAACATAGTCCGTGCTAAAGTGTATCAACGGCTTAACTGCCGCGATAACAACCTAACTTCAAAATGTATTCTTTAAGCACTACCATAGCCTACATGTATACCATGTTCCCTTAAGTGTTTACTCCCCGTCTGTCTGTCTTCTTCTGCTGTTCCCTTTAGTGTTTACTTCCTGTCTGTCTGTCTTCTTCTGCCGTTCCCTTTAATGTTTACTTCCTGTCTGTCTTCTTCTGCCGTTCCCTTTAGTGTTTACTTCCTGTCTGTGTCTTCTTCTGCCGTTCCCTTTAATGTTTACTTCCTGTCTGTCTGTCTTCTTCTGCTGTTCCCTTTAGTGTTAACTTCCCGCCTGTCTTCTTCTGCTGTTCCCTTTAGTGTCTACTTCCTGTCGCTCTTCTTCTGCTGTTCCCTTTAGTGTTAACTTCCCGTCTGTCTTCTTCTGCTGTTCCCTTTAGTGTTAAGTTCCTGGGTGTTTCTCAATGTCGAGTACGCTTGCTTGGTAGCACATGTCTTCCGAGCGTCTTGCTTCAGAAGCGAGTCAAGAATACTTCCTGGCATTCGGAAAACGAAGAGTGGAACACGCTAGCAAGTGTGCAGGTGTGCGTCATATTAGAGGCCCCGCCTTACATCTTCCGCCACAGATTTGGGGAAATTGGTCCGTGCGCAAAGCATTGTGGGGATTTTAAGACCGCGGAGTCTACACATGTGCAGCCTCGAAATTTCTCCAAACGAAGTACGCCGGGCTCGGTAGATTTCCAAGTATGCTGGAGATTGGAACAGTCCTTGATGACGTAGTATGCTTGAAATAGTGGCTCTGGATCAGCTTTACTCGAGATTGAGAAACACCCCATGTCTCTCTTCTTCTGCTGTTCCCTTTAGTGTCTACTTCCTGTCTGTCTTCTTCTGCTGATTTCTCTGTCCCACAGCTCTCTAAGTCTTTAAACTCTTTCTCTCTCTTGCGCTGTTTTGTTGTTATTCTTTATTTTCTTCTGTTTCAAGCTCTTCACACATATAACGTATGATGGAGGAACAGAAAACTATGGTGTTGACGTTAAACGTATCATACTTCTTTTTGCGGATTAATATTACTGCACAAAGTGACTTGATCAGTGATCCTTACCAACAGTCTGCTATCGGAAAAAATCAGACAGCTGAATGTCCAAATTGCACAATCAGAATCCAGTTCTTAAATAACCCTGAAATAGTGTGCTTTCTACACCGTGTAATGGCATTTAAACATGCTAGTGGACTTACATTGCAATAATTCTCAATAAAAACAGCATATTTTGCATTAGGTTCTGAAACCCATGTGATTGATGATCTCTTCCTTCTGTTTCTCTCTCCAGCTCTACCATTCCATCCTGCGGCGACCCAAGCACAAGAGTTCTGGGAGGCGAGCCCGCCTCAGCCCGCTGGTCCTGCTGCTGGACGGGTCACTGGTCGGAGAACTGGAGACGGTGCAGAAGGCCGTGCAGGAGGTGTGTGTGTAAATGAATATGCCTCACTGTAAATACTGCAACTTGAACTACTCTGCTGATACTATTACTCACAGTTATACCTCAAATGTACCCAATATATTAAACTCATTGCAACAAACATAGCTGATTCAGGAAAAAACAACAATCAGACATGGCTCACTTGAACTTAAACACAATCGCAGGAAACATATTGGTGCTTATTCTACATATGCAGAATTATTTTCTAGAACAAACTTCTTCAAACCGTGGGAACTAAGAAAGCTAATTCTAGTGCAAAAGTTGGTGCTCCAGTTCTGGATTTCGACTTTAGGAAGCCCTTAAGAATATGTGATATTTATCTTTCGGCAAGGTTTGCTGACTCTGCTTTCCTTTTCTTTTGACATCTCCCTGCTGCTTCTTATTCATACAGAAATACATTCGACTAGTATACTTCTATTTGAGCAAGTTGGGGGTTAGGAGCAAGTCGTTTTGAAACCAGGATAAAGGCAGTAACAATAGAGAGAGGCTGATGAGAAATGTTTTCCATAGATGAGCGACCCCAGCCAACCCAACGATGAAGGCATCACCGCCCTTCACAATGCCATCTGCGGCGGCCATTACAACGTGGTGGACTTCCTGGTTCGTATTGGAGCCAATGTCAGCGCTCCAGACAGTCACGGCTGGTAAATATCTGGACATTATCTCTACTTATTTAAGTAGAATAGAATAGAAAGGAATATCATTTTATTTTTTTATTGTCATTGCACCAGGTACAACGAAATAAAAAAAGCCTGTCATGCCCATATCAACAACAAGTCAAATAAAGAAGTGCAGTAGCTATTTGTCTGTAACTGTGTGTGTTGTAGTGCTGTAGTACAGTAGGTAAGAACAAATTCCAGGCAATGAACTATACATGTATTCACATTTTACACTACAGTACTTCTTCTACTACTAGGTTTGTTCCTCTTGCCAATTCTACTGTGTATTTTACACATTTCTGTTCAAAGCCACGTTATTTAATTTGTCTATATTTTTCATAGTAATTTTTCACATTATTTATGGACTTTTTTTAATCTTAAAATAGTTTTTTTAATAGTTCCATGTTTGATCCTTTTAACAACCTTTTTTCCTCCTTATGTATGCAACATTATTAAGTCAAGAATCAGAATACTACAAAAATGTATCCTGAGGGAAATTGGGTTTTGTGACTGTTGTTCATTTTAGAAAACAATACAAACAAAAAAAAAGATTCAAATATATAAAAATAAAAGTTTGCGTAAAATCTCCAAAAACTATCAAATTAATTTAGAAAATAATTTTTTTTTTTATATAAACATAAGAAGTTGAAGTTAAAATGTGCACATCATACTGCAAATATAACATTCGGTATATTACAATATATACAGTGTTGGATTAGTATTTAAACGATATATATAAATAGCACACTTTAAAGGGGTTTAGCTGCTGATGGTGAAGTCTGGCGCTCTGTGGGGCAACTTTGTGAAATTAGTCTTCCACTATGGCGACTGTTGGAGTCATGGAATAGGTGGGAGACATTGTCCAAGATGACAAAATGTGTCTCAGCTATCTCCTGCATGTATTGACTGCCATCTCTGTCCCCCAGGACCCCGCTGCACTGCGCCGCCTCGTGTAACGACCGGCCCCTGTGTGAGTTCCTGGTGAGGAACGGAGCGGCGGTCATGGCCATGACGGAGAGCGACGGCGCCACCTCCTCCCAGAAGTGTGATCCTTACGCTGTCGGCTATGAGGAGTGTGAGACCTTCCTCAGAGGTGAGGCAATAACACCTACACTCACACAGACACACACACCCTGTGTGACACAGCACTATTAAATGCTAAACGTCAAACATAATAGAATGAATCATCTGACAGTTACTGGGCTCTGACCTTTCCAGCTGCTTGGTAAATATGACAGTTGAGTTTAGTCTCAAACATAACAATTATAGCTGATGTTGAAATACCCATCATAAACTTTATATTAATGACCCTCAACAGGACACAGTGTGATCAATGTTTACACTTTATTCTTATTTTGCAAATATTTGGTGTCCTAGTATTTGCATCCTATATAAAATAAAGCCTTTAAAAAAACATAAATATTGCTTGTGTTCACTGGCAGGCTTTTTATGTAAGAAAATTAAATAGCTACACCGATTGAGGTTTTTTCAAAAAACTGTTTTCTTGCTTTGGTCAAGAAACATCACTCGTCTCCCTGATTATTTGTTCGGACTTACCCATGGTCAATTAAGAATACTAAGTTACAAGTAAAAGCCTGCATTCAAAATTGTACTTACATTAAGTAAAAGTAAAAAAGTTCAGTTCCAACAGTAAACTTTCTCAATATATTTTTATATATATTGAAATACAGTATGTTTAGCTTGTATTAATAACCTTAATCCGAAATGTAAATAAATATGTAAAATAAATTACGTTACGCATGTCATTCCCTTTCAACTCTGTCTCTCCCAGAAATGATCCTAAAAATGAATGCATGTTGCTCCCTTGTGACACCAGGGGTGGAGGAGGCCATGGGCACGGAGAACAGCGGGGTGCTGTACGCTCTGTGGAGCTACCCGGCTCAGCTAGCCGATGAGCTGAGCTTCAAAGAGGCCGACATGGTCACCATCCTGCAGAGACCTGAGGGGTCCGACTGGTGGTGGGCCTCGCTCTGCGGCAGGGAGGGCTTCGTTCCAAACAACTACTTTGGGGTAAGACGGCAATTCTGTTTTTTACAGACATGTCAATTTGAACATAGCATTTTCAGTACAAGATCATTTGTCTATATTATAATCTTTCAAAGAAAGAAAAATATCCACTCTTCCACCCATTATTGGTCATGGTCACAACATGTAATGAAATCAAATAACTACTACAAACAGCAATTAAATACTCAATCAATTAAAACATTTAAAAACAACAATTAACTAAAGTAGAAAACAATATTGTAGTCAACATGGGAGAAATATAAAAGACAAAGTAATATGCTGAAAAGGAACATGGGGAAGGAAGAGTGTGGGTCTCTCTCTCCATTCAGTGAGCTACCTCGGATGAGTATCCAGGTTTTGTGAAAGGATTTCTGAGATCATTTTAGTGAGAATCTTTTCAAGTTTAATGCATCGAGCCCCTGTATCCACCTGTCATATGTCGGGGGGAGGCATGTTTCCATTTAAGAAGGATGGAGCTTCTTGCCAGCAGGGTTGTGAAAGCGATGACACACTGAGTCGTAGTGGGCACACTCTGAATTGGGGGACACAGAATAAAGCAGCCAGGGGGTTAGGGGCTATAATTGTGTTGAGGGCCTCTTCAATAGTTTTAAAATGATTGGACCAGAAGACAGTTTGATGGGACAGGACCAAAACATATGGATAAGGTCGGCCGGGGACTGTTTTCAGGCACTAAAGGCATCGCTGTCGTGGAAATATTTTGGCCAATTTAGCATTGGTGAAATGGGCTCTGAAGCACCTTGCACTGCCAGACACCAATTCATAAACAATATTAAGACTTTAGCTCTGCATTCTCTCGCCATAATGCAGAAAAATTACGAATAATAAATAACATTAGATTACATTTTATTTAGTTGTTGCTAAAATAAATGCATTCAACAATGAAGATACAAACTCCAAAAATAATAAATCCTGATAGTACATAAGATTTCTCAAAGCCAAACCACTGGACGATTACTGCATTAGCTTCAAAAAAAATCAAAGCAACGTACGTACAGAAGTGAGAATAGTTACCCAAATTGGAGAATTGTTGTGGAGGGTTATTTCTGTTGGTAGGATTGATTTCCTGTATCATGTCAGAAAACTTTAATAGTTTTTTTTCTTGTTTTCAGCTCTTCCCGAAGGTCCGACCTAAATCTCTCTGCTAAGCTGACGACGGTCAAACTGCTGCAGAGGACTGTTCTGTGTGTGTGTGTGTGTGTGTGTGTGTGTGTGTGTGTGTGTGTGTGTGTGTGTGTGTGTGTGTGTGTGTGTGTGTGTGTGTGTGTGTGTGTGTGTGTGTGTGTGTGTGTGTGTGTGTGTGTGTGTGTGTGTGTGTGTGTGTGTGTGTGTGTGTGTGTGTGTTACGAAAGGAGTGAGGGATGGTTTGGATCCAGAGTTGCAGGAGAAGTATTTATTCGGACGTCACTGACCAAGATAAATCCGAGACATCGTTTGTATCGTCTCTGCTGTAGGAAAATCGTTTATAGTGAACTGTTATTATCCAAATGTTAGAGAGGAGGCCAGATTCCCTGCTGTCCCGCGTTGACATTTCTGGCTCATTGCCTGGTTGGGAATAAGAAGGCAAACTGTGGATGTTCTTCAGAGAGGTCAATGTACGCTGTTAACAAGCCATGATGGCTCCATTTAGAAAAGGGCTGCTTCTAACACATTAACCTCCTCATTCCTGGAGGAGAGTCGTCAAAGAAGCGTCAAACTGAAAAGTGAAAACGCTTATGCTTATTTTATAATATTATTAAAATATTTTCTGTGTACATATCAATGTTTGTCCAATGGATCCAGAGAAAGAAATCAAACCTGTGAAGAGTTTAAAGAGCAATGTGTAGTTTTACATTTTTTAAATCAGCCACAGCAGTAACGTAATTGCCTTTTTTATTTACTTAGTTCTCATCGTGTACATTTTTTTATTTAGCCTTTATTTATACAGGTGTAAAATCTTATTGAGACACAAGGTCTCATTTTCAAGAGAGACCTGTCAGTGGTAACACTACCACACAAAGTTACAGACAGACAGGACACTAAACACAGAGGCAACACTCAAATAAAACATCGTAAAAAGTAGTCATTGAAATCCATATACAGTAGTCAGATATAGCAGGTGCAAACACCCACAGATGATTTCTCCAGCTTTTTAAAAAATTAGTTTAAAATCTCTGATTAAGCATGATCCTTAATGCTGCCTTAAATAAGTGTATTTCTTTGGAAGAGAGAGATGTTTTCTATGACATTAAAAGTGTTTTTTGTTCGGTGGATGTGCGTGTTTTCACATTCACAGGGGTAGAATTAAATGAATGTTTGTTGATGCATTTGTATTTTTATCAACACTGTTAGGGACTGCTGTAACCTGTCACGGGACACAAAATACAAAAAATACAAAAAGACAAATAAATAAATATCTCACATCTTATTGCTTTCCTTTGATGTTGTTTGTCACAGCTTGGTGTTTATGGCTTACAATAATAAAAACAACAATTAAACAAATCAAATAAGAATAATAAGAATAGTAATTGAAATGGTTTGAGCTTTGAATCATACAAAGGATTAAAGAAAAAACATAAAACTTGCTTAAATTCACTGGCTGGCTTTTTATTTCAATTATAATATATACTGAAATACAAATTAAAAACAAATGGACTGTTTTAAAAAATAAATATATGAATTCATACAGATTGTAAAAATGTTCTATAATAACCTTTTTGCTTATCATAATTATAATAATAAAAATACACAGTGTTTAAAGATTTGCAAATAAAAGATAAGAAGAAAATAATAAATAAATATGAATAATTTCATATTAGATTTGTTTCTATTATATAACATATATATATAATAAGAATAAGAATGATATTAAGAATACACATTGTGAAGATGCTTTACAAGCAAATAGAAAAATAATAATGAAAAGATAAATGAATAATAAATAAATAATGTGAAATGACCTTTACTTACCAGCAGGTGTCTCTACACAACAAGTAAACACTCAGCACTATTTACTTTGACATTTGTCACCAGCAAATATAAACAGATATGCAATAAAACACCCTTTATCAAGCTGTTTAGTGCAGCATCAGTCTGCTGTTGTATATTAAACCTTGTTAGTATTTTATTTGTTCTTCTTTGATGTTATATTTATTCTCATGTTCTCCCCCCCCCCCCCTCCTCTTCTTTACACCATGAGCACCCAAGCGACTGATGTGATTCCTAATGAATCAATTAGCAGCACTATTATGCATGAGAAAAAAAACTCCACACATTATTAATATTTTTTTAAGTAAGTCTGACTCGAGCCTTTTGATCTGCTCACTATCTCTGCCCCGCTGGTATCAGGAAAACACCAACGCTTCATCACAATCCCAGAGGAAGATTAGTGTCAACATTGTTTGAAGCCCACTTTTTCTTTCTATTTAAAATAAATGAATGTAGATTATAAAAACATGATGACATACAGAGACACAGCCACACATTTACTCTGTGGTGAGCTAATGCAGTGCTTCAGATTTCCATGTGATTAATTCAGATGAGTTAAGTGGGCTGAGCTGTCCACTGGCCCGTGGCAGGAATCACAACGCTGAGCTGAAACAGATCGCCTCTTGGCCTCAAATTAAAGGCCATGGTGGATAAAAGGAGCATACACTGCAACATGTCCTCTTTATTCATAAAAACATATTTCTTCAACAACTCGACCAAGGAGGTGACTTATAAAATGACTTGTGTCATTTTACTAAGTGGTTTTTTAGTAAGAAAATACAATCGCAAAGTGAGGATGACTACAAATAGTCTCTCATAAGATTTAATAGAATTATTTGCATAGAGGGAATTACATTTTCTTTGTGCGTGTTTTTCACATTTTCTTGAAAAGTTAATCATTGGTTAAAGGTCCCATGTTTTGGTCATTTCTACTGATCATAATTCCATTGTTGAGGTCTACTAGAATAGATTTACATTGTTCAATGTTCCAAAATCACATTGGTTTTCTCATACAGCATCTCTGTATAGTATGTGTATTCACTCTCTGTCCTACACGCCTTGTTGGAGCTCCTGCCCCCCCCCCTCCCTATGAGCCCACTGTGCTCTGATGAGTCCACCACTGTTACAGCGGAACATCAGTGTTTATGTGTTTCAATGGCATTTGATAGCAACCAGAAGATGACACCAGTAATGACAAACAGATGAGAATACTGCGTGGGGTCTGGATGCCGTGTTGGCGGGACGTTGCGGGGCTCGCTGCTCCGCCCTGTGGGGCGCGAGGAGTGGACAGTGTGAGCTGGATTACTGGTGTCGTTTCCTGGTTGCTGCGCGGGGTCTGCGTGCCATGCAAGCGGACACTGAGCACCGCGGTGTCCCGCTGGCACGGCACTTGGTCTATATCCAGCATCCAGGGAAACACAGAGGGAAATCCATCTCACACTGTCCGCTCTGGGAGCCTCGCAGGGCGGACTCCTGAGCTGCTCGGGAGTCCACCTTAGCAGAGGGTGTGCCTATTGTTCTATAGCTATGTGCCAATTGGTCCATTTGGACTTGGTTTAGAAAAATCTCCAACGAGGCGTTCTGGGGCAGCATAGACACGTCTTTTCTGTGTTAGAGTTTTACTCTCTACAGGGTGTACTTTGAGGGTTTGTGACTCTGCAGACCGTTTACATGCAGAAAAAGCTACATAACACACAAGGGGACGGGTAATAACCGGAAAAGCATATGATGGGACCTTTAAAAAGATCATTCACATATTTCGTCATTAAAATTAATTGTTCCAAACATCACAAGATTATTATCGGGGGGTCATATCATGATTTAAAGATTCATCAGAAAAACGTGTTTCAGCTTTACAAATGCTACTTTTGTTACCTTCTATTGTGAAATCCTATAAGTCTTCGCCAATCATTGACCTGCAACCCATGACAAGAGGTGGTGAGTGGGCTTTGGTTTTGATGCAAGGTTACACATTTCAAGGACCACTTTGCTCCGTCTTTGTGCTCCTCTCCAACTCTGCCCCTTTCGTATTTTGTACATATTTATTTTACTTTTGCCGTTTTACTTTTAACATGGTTCGCAACATGCAAGCCGACCGCACCTACTCTGCCATACAATATAGCAGAGAGGAACTTCTTCAATTGCGAAACTTCGTGGACAATAATAACCCTCCGACAGACAATGGAGAGCAAACAGGTCCACAGACGACGCCATAGACCGTCATCGGCCAGATCACAGACGGCGACGAGACGGCGTACAGAGAGGAGGTCGAAAACCTGACATCTTGGGGCCAGGATAACAACCTCCATCTCAACATCAGCAAAACAAAGGAGCTGATTGTGGATTACAGGAAGCAGCAGGGAGAGGGACACGCCCCCATCGCCATCAATGGGACTACGGTGGAGAGAGTCAGCAGCTTCAGGTTCCTTGGGGTCCACATCACTGAGGACCTGACATGGTCTCTTCACACCACCACCATCACCAAGAAAGCTCGACAGCGGCTCTTCTTCCTCCGCAGGCTGAGGAGGTTCAAAATGGATTCCAGGATACTCTGCAACTTCTACAGGTGCACGATAGAGAGTATCCTGACTGGCAGCATGACGGCCTGGTACGGCAGCTGCACCGACCTCAATCGTAAGGCTTTACAGAGGGTGGTGAAAACTGCACAGCACATCACCAGGACGGAGCTGCCATCCATGGAGGACCTTTACTCCCAGCGGCTCAGGAAGAAATCACTACGGATTATCAAAGACCCCCATCACCCCAGCCACAAACTGTTCTTTCTGTTGCCGTCTGGCAGACGTTACCGCAGCATCCTGGCAAAGACAAGAAGATTCGGAGACAGTTGCTTCCCGCGGGCAGTGAGACTGTTAAACAATTGAACTGCTGAAACAACTTCAAAACATTCATCTGCTACTCAGTAATATGTATCTAATATCTAATATATATCATTCCAATAACTTGTATATAGACTCGTACTGCACTATTCCACATGCTCACTTTATTATATAACTATTTTTCTTTTTGTATTGCTCTTGCTATCTGTATTGTTATTATGTTGCATTGTTGGAGAAGCCTGTGACATAAGATTTTCAACAACATAATTACTCTGTAGCTATGTCAGTTTGACAATAAAGAACCTTGAACCTTGAACCTTGAAACCACTTTCTAATGCAATCCATTACAATCCATCCATCCATGCATCTTCATCTGCTTCTCTGGAGTCAGGTGGCGGGGGGAGAAGTTCCAGCAGAGGATCCCAAACTTCCCTTTCCCTGGCAACATCAACCAGCTCTGACTGGGGGATTCCAAGGTGCTCCCAGGCCAGTGTGGAGATGTAATCCCTCCACCTGGTCCTGGGTCTGCCCCTTGGCCCCCTCCCAGCTGGACGTGCCTGGAACCACCTTAAGGCCCCTACACACCGGGCCGATTTTCGGCGTCGATAGATGTCGATAGATGTCGATAGATGTCTGGGATGATGAGCGTCCTGTCACCCTACTCAGATTGGCCGCCGGCTAAAGAAATCACTCTGATTGGCTTAACGAATCAGTGCATGAGAAGCGAAACGGAAGTGAGGGACCCAAACACGATTAAGAAGGCAAATCTGAGATTTAATTTAACTCCAGCTCTCGACACAGGTTCGGGAAAGCCCCATGAGCTTCTCGCTGTAGAGTGAAAATGGAACGCACACGCTATTTGTTGTTTGTTTATATCACGCAGTCTGTTCTTCTTCTCTCGGTGTATCACGCAGTCTGTCTTCCGGTTGTTGCCTCTTTTGAATGACGAA